ATACAGGAAAATCGCAAATAAAGCCACAAAAAAGTAAAAATACATTCGTTTGGGCATTTATAGTTCAAGACTAAAACCCAAAATTTTAACAGAAATGATCGTAAAACACTATTCAATCATTGCTTATTGCATATGCAATAAGTTGGGAGGACTCAGTGTAAAAACGAATGCAAAAGCAGTGTTCAAGACAACACTTGCACGAGCAACGCCATAAATGATTACCCTATGGAGCCACCTTAGTGAAGATATGATTTTTTTAAGTATTTGCAAGCCTTAGAACGAAGCTTTAAGATTTCTTTATTCCTTTTAAGAGTAAATATGCCTCAAAAGAGAGGGGTGGGGGTGATGTAGTGGCATTGGCAGGGGGGTGCATTGCAAAGAGTTACATCATTTCTGCATGGGCTACGCACCTAATACACCAGTCTTTGAAATTAAAGCCAAGCATAATGGGCGTAGAGAATGGAAGTGGAAAAAAAAATTAAGTACAATGATTGCAGATTTCTCATTCTATGTGACTTGAAAGTTTTCCAGTGAAGTCTCCTTGATTTTTGTTGAAGTAGATTTTTTTATTTAAGGAATAAAGCACTTTGTTTGCTGGAAGCAATCGTTGCTATGGGGGTTTCTATGCTAAAATATAGCTACAGTACCAGTGTGCAGATTTCTAAGTTAAACATAAATCTGTATCACGGCAAAATTAGAGCAAAATTAGTTGAAAAAAAGTTTCGCAAATGTTAGTGTTTTATGTGTTAAAGTTTCAGAAAAATGGTTTCCATGTCATAAACTTAATATATTTGAGTGGAAGACCCTTAAGAAAGGATACCATTGCCCATGGCCATGGAATAGCTGTTGTAGTTTAAATTATAGTTTAGGTCAGAATTTCCATCCTAGATTACAGGTAATTTTTTTCAACCTAGGTTAAATTTTTAATTGGCCAGTTTCTTTTCGCACTGGTCTAAAAGAATAACATGCACAACATGCACACCAATCATTCCCCTCCTGAGTCCTTAACCCTACCCTACCCTGCCAGGATCGTACTGATATCACCACCCCCAAGATCCTTTTTAACTTGGAAAATATTTAC